TTTTTTCCCTCATGTCTTGGTACGAGACCTTATCTGGAAGTTCAGTGCTTTTTTTGGGGTTGTTTTGATGATTCGTAGAAGAGAATAAAGTCTGTTTTTGGATAGGGCTCTTTAGCAATTTAGTCCTCTATAACAACACTCTAAAGCAGTAACAAGTTAAAATTGAGGGGCGAAGCTTCTTTCCAGATGACTACTACATGAATGTGATTGACTGGAGTAGCACCGGAATAGTGGCTGTGGCGCTATCTTGCACCCTGTATCTCTGGAACGCTGATAGCGGCGATATACAGGTAACACTTCTTCACCTGATGCTTTTCATGATTCAAACTATCAGCGAGCAAGAGTTTTTAAGGTGCTGTTTGAACTGGATGAAAACAACGAGATGAATTTGATAACATCCGTGAAGTGGTCAGCGGATGGCAAATTTTTAGCCGTGGGATTCAAGGATGGTTCATTGAAAGTGCGCCAAGTTCAAAATTTCAAAAAAAAATGTATGCAGTGATATGGCTGTTTAGTTATATGATCCCGCGCGAACTGTTCCGCCTAATGGGAAGTTGGAGTTGAGAACTATGAAGCCGCCGCGACAGTCTCGAAACGGTATTCAACAGATACTCTTAGAAGGTTGCACGGTAACATTGATTGAATTTGCAATTCCAAAGGAGTGCTCGGATGGCGTGGTGCTGTTGTTTCTGCTGGATACCAATCGGGACAAATCATCCACCACGACGTTAGAGTCGCAAAACACATTACAGGGTAAGATAGCCATCAGTTAATATTATGTGACAAATTGCTTATCAAGTTTTGCCATCGTGCCTCTTTAAGTGATTTTTTTTTTGTTTTATTCAGTAAACTTTACTATGGAAACCAAAATCTGATCTTTACAGAGTATGGGAAGGCCATGAGCGCGAAGTGGTGGGATTGCATTGGGCACCAAATCAGACAAAGTTGGCTACTGGAAGCGGCGATAACACTGTACGCGTTTGGGATGATAGTCGACTTGGAAGTAACACAACGGTATACTCCCGTAGCACATCTGTCTTTAGAGAAAACCTATTGTTTTCTTAGGAAAGCTTGTTTGTACTGGATGACCATGTCGGTTCTGTTAGAGCCGTACAATTCTGCAATTACAAGACAAGTCTTTTGGCGACCGGAGGAGGCATGCAGTGCAAGGCGATCAAATTGTGGAATGTGAACAGTGGAGAGCTGCTAAAGAGCATTGATACAGGAGCTGCTGTGGGTTTTCACTCAGAGCCAATCTCACTTCTTTTTCTTCTACTGCACAACAACTTTTAGTGTAAAAAAATTTTTTTGCCCTTCATATGTTTGCACTTTGTGAGGCAACCACAAAAAGCGTTGAACATTCTAAAAATGTTGTTTCTACCTGCCTTTTTGAAATGGTGTATGATCTATAATTACATCAATAATTTATGTTCCACATTATAAAAATGTGGAGTTTTAGTTTCCTGCATCTAACTTGCTTCAGGTTAATGGTATCATATTCAATAGTGACTATAAGGAGATGATGTCTGCTCACGCATGCGGAAAACTGGTCATTTGGAAGCATCCAAACTATAGTGAGATCGCTAAACTATCAGGTAAACTTCGAAACTCAGTTTTTATAAAAACGTTCAATTTGTTTTGACTATGATGTGTTTAGGCCACGCTCCTGAGCGTGCTATCTCTATCGTTCAGTCCCCTTGTGGTCAATTTGTTATGACTGCAGGCGGAGATGAAGCTCTCCGCACTTGGCATCCGTTTAAGGTATATTAGTTTCTCCGTATT